GCTGCCTGAGTTTAGCTGTAAGCAAGGGGTTGTTGTTGCTGTATGTGCAGGACATTTTAGTTGACACACACGTGTCCTCACAAAAGCTGCTATAAGATGTCACAGTGTGAGTGAGTTCATCCAGGTCTGTGGCTGCAGCCTTAACCCTCCAATAAACATTGATCAGAAAGTCCCAGAGCTGCACGGGGGACACAGTGATACGCAATCTTTAATCTGGTGCACCAATGGTCCCTAGCAGGACACCCTCTAGTAGGGTTTATTCCTAATGGGACACTTCAAGGTGCATTATGTAAGATTTGGCTGTCTGTCGAATTCATACTCAAAACAAATAGGGGGCAGCATATCAACATAGTAGTTCCCAAGGAAAACTTGGTGGGAACCAAATTTTCAGTTTGCTCTAAACGATTAAAAACTAGGAAACTAGGTTGCTGGTTCAGGCTGCTTGAGTGGCAGGGCAAAAATGGGCACCAGTGCACAGAATGTTGTTATGCATTTATAATGAAACAGCTTAGTCAGGGCAATTTACAACAATTTCTCCCCTGGAAGGGCACCCTCGAAGACACTTTATCGTGTTTTATCTACTGTAGGGGCATGCCTACAAAAAATACAACTCTAAAACTCACTTATTACAACATTGTATCTTGTTTGTTTAACTTACAAATTTGAGCTAAACACTGGTGCAATCTCTGTGCTGTACAGACATGCATCTGGTGTCAATCTTACTGTACCATTTGACTTATTTTAAGGACAGTAAACTTTTTAAATTTCCCAAAAGTTGCTGCTGTTCCTGTATCATTGACTTGTCCCACTCCCTTGTCTACTCCAGATTGATCGACAGCAGTTTGACAAGATTATGGATCTGATAGAGAGTGGGAAGAAGGAGGGTGCCAAGCTGGAATATGGAGGAGCAGCTGTGGACGAGAAGAGCCTTTTCATTCAGCCCACCATCTTCTCCGGGGTCAAAGACCACATGCGTATTGCCAAAGAAGAGGTGACAACTTGTTTCAGTTGATTACATATATAGCAGACACAGACAGAGAGTGGGCTAGAGCCGGTGGATGAAAGTGAAAGCCTGACACCTTGTGGAACAGTGCTTTAATTACACCACAGACAGTGCAGAGAGGCAGGCTGCACAGCTGAGCACACAGGAAAAGTCTAAGACAAAGGAAGGAAGGACAGTTTTAGTTCTATGGAAGCCTGTTAATGAAAAAAAGAATGAAAAAAAAGTGCACAAATGATATACACTTACACTTTTAATTGATCATCTCATAATTCTCCTTTACAAACTTAACCAGTAGCATCATTTTATCATTCCTGATTTTTTTCCCAGGCAGAAATGGGCTTGTATATTTCTCAAAAATAAACTTTATGTGCACTGTTTCAGCCACATGGTTTTGTCAGGTCATGATTTAAAAAAATAAATACCAAAAGCAGTGCCATCAAACACACAGTTTCAAACTGTGTGATGTGATTTTAATGTAATTCAGATTAGCATTATTCCGAAATATAAAATGTATAAAAACTGTCGTTGTATATGCCACTGTCACTCCATACACCACATATAGCTGGCCCAAACATGGACAAAGGCAAAGTATAAAGTCCTGGGCCATAAGCCTAATAATTAACTTAAGAGACTTCACTATCACTATTAAATTATTAGCAGGCTGAGGTGGATAAAAAACAGCCGATTTCAGTGAAGAAAGGAATGGAACTTGATCAGCTCTATTTTCATCATTGTTAATCTCTTAAATTGTGCAGCTCTTTGTAGTTCAAATTCAAGTTCAAATTTATTAACTCAGCACCAAAGTATATAGTATGTAGAACCTCTATCACATTCAAAAGAATGATCAGAAAACAATGATATATTCAAATAGGCACCTAGTTTACCTATACGATGGTATACAAAGTACTTAAGCAAAAACTATTTCCTAATACAGAAAGCTATGTTTTATTCTTGCTTTCAGATAATGTTCCAGCTACTTTGAGGATTCTGGTGTTATTGATGATAAAGTCAAAAATAGTATTTCTGTTTTTATGTGAGAATAATCAAGACTGTCAAGTTTAAACTCATATTTAAATTTCATGCAAATATCACATGTTGAAAAGTATTGGAACTCACTGCTCTATGTTTATAAGATCTTTTAACAACCCGATTTAAATCATTAATGTTACCACATTTTTATTTGATTCAGAGATTAATAAATCCACAGTCATCTACTGTATGTTAGCTTCCATTACTGTCCACTTACCTCCCCCTGGAGTCAATTATGTCCTTTTTGATTTCTCCACAGCTACACATAGACATTTACTTGTATTTAACCAGATAATTCAACTGAGAACCAAGTCTTATTAACAGTGACAGCCTGGCTAAGAGGCAGTGTCAGGAGGCAAGTCGATACAAGCAATTCCATATACATATATATATATACAGTTCCTCCAAGAAATCAATATTAGACAGCGTAAAAACATCAGAGTTATTCAATTCAATTCCAATTTTATTTGTATAGCGCCAATTCATAACAGAAGTTATCTCAGGACACTTTTTCAAATAGAGCAGGTGTAGACCGAACTCCTGTGTTAAAGAAATTTCCAGTCCAACATTTTGACTATATCCTCATTTTTTAATATATCTGTCTACACAATCTTTTTAATTCTCTATTACACACTGTACAAAGTTGAACATGCTAATTTTAGTTTTTCCACGAAGGTAAAATGTGTAACGTTAAAAAAAATTACACATCTGCTTTTTGAATTTATTGTCTATTACTGTCTGTCATGGTATCATTGCAACCAATGGACAAGCCTCTCTGTATTCTTCTATGTTGTTAATAAATAATGGAGATAATAATGGAAGCACATTTGTGATCTGGAAGCACATCTGGCCTACAGTGCAGAATTTCTGTTTCATATTGGACTATACCAACTAACCTACGATTATTTTCTCAGTTTGTATTGCACATTCATGACAGGAAACAAAAGGATGTGACTGGTCTTTACTGATATGTTTCCCTTTCAGATCTTTGGTCCGGTGCAGTGTATATTCAGCTTTAAGAGCCAGCAGAAGGCCATAGAGAGAGCAAACAGCTCACAGTATGGCCTGGTGTCAGCAGTCTTCACAACCAATATGGACAGAGCTCTGTCTGTGTCTGCAGCCCTGGAGACTGGCACCGTCTGGTAAGTCCCCGTTCACAGTCCTGACACCACAGGGACACACTTGGATGTGCATTAAAAATTACATTAAACAATAAACAACAATATTGGATTACATAATGTAAATGTAAAAGATTCACAATATTTTCAATGTGCCTTTCTTGCTTAATCAATAGCTGCGTTCTATATTCACACAGCAACTGTTATGTACATTAGAAACACAACAAACTAAAATAAAGAACAGAAAGGTTTGACTTGACCTTATGCTCAATCCTGCTGACATTATGACATTCTTACCATTTTGCCAGTTGGTCACACACAGTCTCGTATACAGATAAACAGTACACTAAAATATTTTTCTAAAAAGATTTTCAGCAAGAAATAGTAAACACAGTAACAGAATCTGGATCCATATCTGATCAGCACTGCCTAGTTTGGACAGTTTGATCTGAGTTTGGTGAGTTGAGCTGGACGGACTCACTGAGAATGACCTGTCAAATCACAAGGTAGCCCTGCCCTAAAGCATACTTGCTTTACCGTCTATTTTACTCTAAATGGGACCATCATTTACTAAATGAAACATCATGCTGTATGGAAGAAGACTGCAACTAGAGATTGAGACCATCAACTCATTAAGAAATTGTTTACTAAGCTCATAAATCAAGTGAGAAGTAGGTTCATTTCTCCGTAAGACTGCATACTATCGGATTTGTTGCAGCCAATGGAGCTGCCCCCTCTGCTGGCAATTACACAGAGTGCAGGTTTAAGACTCTGTGTTGGCTTCACTTCACAGACCCAGAAGCTTTGTCCATTATATATACAGACACCGCCACAGACTTCTAGTGGGCCATAAGTGATTATTAAGATGGATTATGTTTCTATATATTGTAAAATTCTCCTCTCTCTGTTAAGGATAAACTGCTATAACGCCCTTCACGCACAGACTCCCTTTGGAGGGTATAAGATGTCAGGCAACGGACGAGAACTGTAAGCATCACGGCTGTTTCTTCGATATTCCATATTGTTCAACTATTGCTGTTCACTGTGTATTCCATAACCTGCCTCTTTCTGTCCTCTCAGTGGAGAATATGCGCTGGCTGAATACTCTGAGGTGAAAGCTGTGACCATCAAACTGAGTGAAACCCTGTGAGAAGAACTGGGAAAGTCCGGTGTTCTGCACTTCCCATTCCATCAGGCCACATCACAATTCTCTACAACCCACACACCCCCGTCTTTGTCTACAGTCATGCTGATGCATTTGAGATTCCGGTTAAGGCAATAAAAAAAAATTGTGTTTTTCCAATAATTTATTTAGAATTTCCTTGCAAATAAGGAGATAATTTGGCACAGTAATTATGGAAAAAACAGAGCAGTGGTCAGTTAGTCAATGTTCAAAAGACAACCACATTTTGAAGGTGGTTAAAAGAAAAAGCTTAGCTAACTAGCTAGCTCTACACCAATCCTTAGCTAGTTATATCTGATAGCTAATGTTAGCAAAATACTGGCTAAATAGCTCACTAAGGCTTGATGTAGATTAGTTAGCTAATTAGCTAATGTTTTGCTAGCATTAGCCAATTTTAGATGTGATCTATATATACATGTCACTTTTATCTTCATTTTCAAAATGTGGTTGTATTTTCAACATAGACGAGCCCAACACATAGCATATCTGAGTACAGGAGAGGAGGAAGCTGACATAGGCTTGCTCAGCTGCTATTGCAGCACCAAGTCACGTCTCCACTTCCTCCCACTGTACAAAAAGTAAGACAAAATTTATCGGACACAACAGCTACCATCGTCTGGATTCAGAGCCGAGTCTGCCCAGTAGTGATCGGGGTAGGCGCCACAGCAGTAAAGTCCCGCCCATACACCCAACTGACTTAGACTCAGGCAGAGCTCAGCTGTCAGTCATCAGGTGAAACACCCTTTTTATAGCTTTAAATAACTAATTAAAACCAAACTTATGAGAAAATTGAACTCTTGAACAAACACCAGATTGTTAAAATCTACCTAAAATGACAGAAACCATCTTTGGGAAAAATGTTTTTGATGTGTAATTAGATTTTTTTGGTTTGTCCAATCTGCTAACATTGAGGCAGTGGACTTTATGACCTATACTGTAGTCAGCCAGGCTGTCGAGATGTTTTGGCTTCACGTTTGGAGAGCTGTCATGTCGTCCATCTTTATATACACCAATGGGAGGCAGTTATGGAGGGTCAATTACGTCTAGATCATTTCCTGACCTCACCCAGCCCGACACGTTAAACTAAGACTGACAAGCTGACCAGTGTGCTAATCAAACTGCGTTTCTCGTTTCTCATCTTTCCTTTGGTCTGCTAACCTCGCCTTCGTCAGCTTCAGACATACCCATCATGCATCTGTTGGGCTCTGCCCAAACATTCCTGCCTGCACACTGGTTCTGTCTTCAGCCTAAAAGGGAGAAGCAGTGGAGGAGCTGCAGGATGGAGACAGAGCTGCAGATACTGAGGTTACAGAGGGAGGAGGAGGCATGGATGTTTTTCTAAGCCTGGCATGTGAGACTCAGGCATGCTATGAAAACACTCGCAAGGAGAGAGAGAGAGAAAAGAAAGAGAGGAAGCAGACAGGAAAAGGGGAGAGGAATATATTCAGTGAAACTATGAAAATAGAATGTGTCTGGCTGGAGGAGGACCCTGGAAGTCTGACTGAGCCATATGGTCCTCTGATTCAGCAAACTGTGCACCATGCATTACTTTGTCTTGCACTCTGTGTGGGTGGGTGTGGGTGTCTGGCTTCAAGTTTAAATTCTTGATGTAGTAAAAAGTCTCTGTGTCTTGTGAGCCTCATTATTCTGGGCCATAGATGTAACATATGAGCAAAGCTTTATCTCCTAAAACCTGTCAGCAGGTACTGTCACCTATCTGTAATATACATCTTTTTTTTTTCTTTTCTGTGTGATCACACATTTCTGTTGCCCTAGGCAACACCTATTTTTCCCTTTTTTAGTTTAAAGTCAGATTTTTTGACATTGATTACCATCGCAGCACTACACGAATGTATTGCGCTTCAACATTAGCTGTGTTAATGACACTGGGCCACTCACGTACTAACAAAACTGGAGCCGAAACTTGTATTTGTCCTTTTCTCATTAGAAAACAAAAGAATATTACTGTGTTAACTTTCTATCATTCACTGTGATAGTGGTGATCGATGTGTGTTCAAAAGGAGCAGGTTGCTGAGCCTTTCTTCAAAAGTCTTTAAGGTCTAGCAACTCCAGGGCTGTGGACACACATTTGCCGTTAGAGTATGTACTACTGAGGCACTGAGTGAATTCCTGGCTTCACTGGCCACAAATTGTAACCAGCGAGCGAACATCGCTACACTCTTTATAGATACATTTATGGCCCATTTGTAGCTTTTTTTTAGAAAAACAGACTTGTTGAGGAAAGCCCATCAACTGTTCTGCCATTCTCATACGATTCCTGAAGGGGGTCGACATTTATGTGAAGTAGGCAGAATAGAGGTTGGTGCATCCATTACCTTAAGTTTTAACACCACCTTCTGATGGGTGACTGAACTACATATTACAATAGGAAACACTAAGCTTTTACCCTAAGTTATGCCTCTATACACATGCACTACACCACAAAGGCAACTTATCAGGCTATTGTTTTACTGCTGCTCTCTACAGAAAATTGGCTGTGATGGCATCATCGGCTCTTCTGCAAAAGAGGACCGCTGTGGTGTTTGTAATGGAGACGGGCGCTCCTGTAAGATAGTGAGAGGAGACTTCAACCACACCAAAGGAATGGGTGAGTGTGTGTGTGTTTATGTTTGTGTCATAGTATCCATCTAGTATGCTCTATGTGTGTGCTGATGTATGCAGCTGATATTGGTTGTCTGTATCCAGACATTGGCATCTAGTACTGATATGATACAGTTTCACTGTAAAACCTGATGACTTAGTTCAACTCAAACTGTCTGAGGAAACAGATTACCTTTAACTGGTTTAAATTTATTAACTCAAACAATTTAAGATATTTGATTTGAGTAGAAGTAATTTAAGTATTTGTTAAGGTAACCTGGGTAAATTAAGTTAATTCCATTCAGTTGATTGAAGTTAAGCTCAGATACAGCATTTTTCCAAACTTATTTAAAATGTGTAAACACAATTTATCTGAATAAAGTAACTGAAATCCATAGTATTTATATAAATATAAACACCTTCATAAGTTGAATTTATTAAAATTATTATTACATTACCTGTAAAAACAGCTGACATGCAATAAAAACATTATTATTATTATTATTATTATTATAACTAATTAATGAACAAAATGATACCAAAGTAAGTTTTTGTGTTTTTTAGGGAGTAACATCAAATCTTTACAGTTTGGGTGATCATTAAGAATTATTTGGATGCATACTTGAGTTTATGATGATTAATAATCTGAAATAAAAACAAAAAGTGAAAAATCCTAAGCTGTACAGCATTATAATACTTACACTTTTATAATGACAAAGTCAACTTTGAGAAAATGAGTCAATGCAAACTGGATATATGTCGCCTGTACTTAAAATAATGCACACATTTAAGTTCACTCAAAACAAATTTAGAGAATTAAGTTATGTTATCTTACTACTTTTATAAAGATGTGTTGTCAGCTTTTACAGTGTACATTTATAATTATATATTTATATGAGTATTACTATACATTGATTGCCTGAACCTGAACGGTTCTGTGTAATTGTGTAAATGCAGATTCCACCCTAACAGAAATCTGAAAAAAAATCCACTGTTAATATTTCATGTTTTGTAGAATTATTTGGGCATGAAATGAAGTTTATGGCATAAAATGTATATATGTATTGTCCTTCAATGCTGGTCAAACCTAAATGTCGATTAGTCACATGGCAGATGTTTCTGTCTTAAGCCTGTAATATTAGGAAATGAGTTATTTTGCTTGAAAAATTATCACTGCATGGGCTAACCTAATCATGGCAATATAGACAGTGTTTCTTTTTTTTAAGCCTCTTTAGGCGACACTATGTGTGTTTTTTAAGGGATCACTGAGCCTGTTTACACCTGGTATTCATATTGGCTGATCCGATCACAAGTGGACTGTTTTAAATACAAGTGTAACCAACCACTGAGACGCATTGTGATCTGATCACTCAAACCACTTGCCGAGGTGGTCTTGGATGCATTTGGCACATATTGTTTGTAGTATGAACACTAATGCGCAGTTATAAAATCCCACAGCGCACCAGAGTCTTTCCTGCAGGGCTGCTGACAGCGCAGGTAAAAGTGAAGGCTATAGAAGTTTAGTGCACCGCTGAACTGAAAAAAAAGGGATAGTAATAATGGATGTTAACACAATTCTGAGTAGGGTACAGCCCCATAAAAGTATTTATTGGCATACAGAGTGGGGAAGGGAGATAGAAGTTTTCTGAAATTGTATGTTTAAATATGCAAATGAGGCATTATCTACTTATAAATGCACTAATGTGCATATATTTTCAGAACAGAAATCTGAACTTTGAATAAAGCCAGGTTAGACGTGAAATGGACATTTCACCATGTTTTTAGGAATAAAATGCTCTATAAATCATACTGTGAATGTTACATGAACATAGCCCTCTATAAAAATCTTCAGAATATAAATAGGAATAAAACTAGAAGCTTTGGTGTATGTAAATGCTGCTGAAGTAGAGATTTTTGGCTCAGAGTGTGAGAATATACTCACTTTGTGAAAACGGCCTTTAAAAATATGTATTGTAAAATCCATATATTTTACAAGACACTACCGGTGAATAGGGTAAAGATTTTAACTAATAGATATCACCATGAAACTTCCCAAACTCATCACTACATCAGTTATTTTTTGTACTGTATTTTGTATTGTTTTCTGAAATATATTGTTAAAATAGGCAAATGAGGCAATATCTGATGCTAACTTTAGGAGAAATCTACAGATGCAAATAGACAAAGAATATTGTGGGCGTTTTTATTTATTTATACTAGTCTGAAAGACATGTCATAGAGGAAAAAATAAAAAGTATTTTTGCGTGTAGTGTTTTGCTTTAAACTATGTAATCTTGGAATTAGGGAACAATGCTTGTATCCAGTTTATGCCTGTGACTCCACAAAGTTCTCTTGAGCTGAATATGTGAGTGAGGTTTTCCATCTAGCCCATCCCTTTTTACACAAGCATCAAAAACCTATTGGTGAAAGAAAGGACAGATTCATAATACAAATAGCAGTTTTATGTGTTAAATACAGAAGACATAACTGAATGTTTGACTGGATATCACACATAGCTCTTCATCATCACCCTCTTAACCACGCAGAACACGATCAAGAATTACTGCAAACAGTGATCACAGATATTGTGGTTCTGTTGCAGCAGCCAATGTGACAAAATCTGTGGACACTGATAAATGTATTCGTCAGCAGTGTCCACATCACACCACAAACTGAGTCAGAAAAGGGGATAATAACAGCAATAGGAGCTTGTGTGTGTTAGGGTGCGTGCACACGTGCATGCACATGCCGGTGTGGTCCACAGGACATGTGACCTCCCTTCCACTTCCTTGTCTTGTCCTCCAGTCACCACTAGGCAGTGTAAGAGGGTATCTACCTGTGTGATGGCTAAACCCAGAGCTGTCCCCAAGTGTTTCTCATGTAAGATGCATGCACTGTGTGTATGTGTGTGTGT